AAGCTTTTAAAATAAGCTTGAGAAAGTATGCGGGAGTTTATATAAAATACTTAATGATCTAGAAATTCTATTTTTGTTAATTATCAACCAAGTTCCGTATGGTACTATTAGCATTGCCCTCGACACTGCTCAAATAAAGAGCTTTCCCTTTAAGAAGCTTATAATCTAAAACATACAAATAACCATATGCAGAAAAAAACTAGAGATCAGAGTAAAAGGAAGCATTCACAAAAATGTACAAATTCAGCACGCCAGAACTTTTCAGTTGAGCAACATGATCCCCAGTGAAATTCTTTCCAAATGATGTATCGTGTGCACAAGTTATAAGTGATTATCTTCAATTTTCTTAGAAATGAGTAATAAGATCCTTCTTAAGACCCGTGCTTTTGTATATGCATCAAACACTAAAGTTGGCATGGTCATTGATAGCTGCCATTTAAAGAGAAAACATATTTTCTGTCTTGTCTCATAGGAGACAAACCCAGGACTCTTTTCTCCCAGGTTGGTAATAAACAGCAAACATTGCAACTCTAAAGATGGAAGGGAAGCAACAGAATGCTAAAAAATATTGCATCAAAATATTGGATACAATCTACCAGCAAATAAGAAACACACACACACACACACACACACACACACACACATTGCAAAACTAACGCCATCTGTGTCATCTAGCAACTATCAAAACCTTCTTCTGTCTCTTTTTAAGATGGAGGCTCTATTAAGAGACTTCTCCCTATCTCCCACTTCATCTCTTCAGTTCTTTTCCCTTGCCCCAGCTGCCTATTGTGACCATTTCAGCCAATTTCCTGGAGGTATTTTCTAGCCTCTTTCACCCTATTTAATCCTACAAGTTTCCTGGGAAGCCTGTTTACTTGTGTGCTCTCCCACTACTGAAAACCCCTTGACAAAAGGGGACTGAGACTTACTCCTCTCTGCACCCCCAGCACCTAAAAGAGAGCCCATCAAGGTGTCCCACCAATCATCCTCCACCAATCTCTTAAGATTGATGGCTCCTTCTAAGCACTTCTCAGTCAGGATGTATGCAGTGACTATATTATGAGTGCATCTGAAAATTCTGTAAGGTCTTCTGAGTTAGCACACAACTTTGAGTTAGCATAGCAGTATAACTTTTGAAAAGTTTTGACAAATCACCTGCTCACCTAAATGTGTAGTGCAATTTCAGAGGAGAGAAAACCCTCCCACATCTCATTCTCTCTGCCAACACTAGGATAGTTAATTGTTCAGAAGAATCAGGGATTCACAGCTGGTAACACAGATATGGTTGCTAGTTCTCATAGTAAATGCACAGGCGCGTGCACGTGCATGCTCACGCGTGTGTATGCACACACACCCACAGAGAGACACATAAAAACAAACTCTTTGTTTCAAGAATTTTGCTTTATATTTTTCTGTTTCATCAATTTCAAGAAACTACAAGTTGATTTTGGCTCTCAGAGGCTGCCTTTTACCCATAGGTGCATTTGGCCTTCTGGGTCAGTTCTGGCACATTCCAAGGCCCTCTTCAAGCAAAATCTCTCAATCTTAGGGGAGTTGGAACACTACCATGGTTTGTTTGATTTTTCTCATTCCCATCCGCCCCCTGCAACTCCCACCCCCCACAAAAGTGGTGTATGGCATTCATAAAGTGAATTACACTTGATTTTTGTTTAGAGGAATTTTTTTCAGACTTCTGTAACATTCCCTTGAGACAATTGGAAACATCATTGTCTGATTACTAGCTCACTTCCCTTGCCTAAAATTGTATCCATTCTTGATTGCGCCTGTGGGTAGGTTAAGCAAAACAAAATAAACATCTAGACTTATGAGCTCATTGGCTTTTTTTCTGAATTTTTCTAAATTAAATAAGGGCGAAAGAGCTGTACTGAAAGTCAGTTATATGGATCTCCCTGCCAAATGCTAACTCTGTGTGCCTGGTTTCCATCTGTAGTGCTTTCCAAGTTACAAATCTTTGAAAGAAAAAGTGGGGTCTGAAGAGATTCGTGGATTTGGCGAACATGCTATTTAGAATGGCTATCCATTACCTTTGAACACTCTGAAAGAAATGGGAACTTGAGATTGGAAGGGTTTAGATCAGTTTTGTAGAAGTCTGGGGTAGCTCTTCAGCACCAGTGATTTATTGTTTAGGTTGGTTGATTTCAAATGCCACTTAGTCTCATCCATGTTAGCATAAGAAATGTACCTTATCTTCTCTAACCCAATTCTGCTAATGGCCAAAGTTAGCAGTCAAGCCCAAATGCGTCCCTTACATGAAACAGGACATTCTTGAGGATTTCTCCTTAGTGGCACCAAATCTCATTTTATCTGGGCAAAAGAAAGCATTAATGCAGCTAGCACGGTGGTGCAGCAGACAAACTGAATGTGGCTTAATCTCTAGGTGTGGGAGGGGGGAGTCAAGCGGTCATCGTGATGGTTCATAACTATCAAATAATTTGCAGCTCTCTTTCAATTTCTAACCAGTGAACGATGGCAGCAAATTACACATTTATTCACTTGGAAATTACGTACTTGCCATTGTATTCAGTCTGCCATTATCACCTCTTCTCTGAAATACTGATGAGCTCTTTCTACACATGAACGTTACGATTTTTTTTTTACCATATTTTCAATATCTATATCATCCATATTTGCCCGAATAAAATTCAGGACAAATGGTTTTGTTCCAGACGACTATGAAAGCTATACTCCCACAGTAAAATAAATAAATAGATAGATAGATAGATAGATAGATAGATAGATAGATAGATAGATAGATAGATAGATAGATGGTAGCTGTATGGATATTTCCATATTTGAACTTTGGACTTCTTTCCATGCTTGCCATGTAGAAGGTGCTGGCTACCACTTAATTTTGTTAAAAACAATTGAAGTAAATACGATTGTGCTAGGTTTATATGGGGGAAAAAAACTGGGAAAGTGCTATCTCTTAGAGTTTGGAAAATAATAGAGGAAAAATTTCTGTAACAAGTAAGTCTCTAGAAGTATGATCATCCTTAGACTGGAAGCACGCAAGGCAGGAATCAAGCCCTGGCCAACTCTCATAGACACAGTGTGTGGGCCCTCCCAATACTTTTATACGTATGTAGCAAAGAGGCAGGCGGCCAGGGAGCTGGGGGAAGGAGAAAGGCGGGCGTGCCCGTGTGTGTGTGTGTGTGTGTGTGTGTGTGTGTGTGTGTGTGTGTGTGT